AAGCTTTGGGAGCACAAGTAGACACCGGGTTTCTCATCGGGGGGCGGGGCCCCGTCCTTTCTCCCCGGATGGGCCCCCCCCCCCCCTCCACCGTTTGGTTAGCCAGGAAGCCCAATCAACCCACGGCATATCTCGTGTGGCACAACAATCGCGAGGATGATGACACTATCAGCTTTTGGTTCATCCTTCAAAAACGTAGCCTGGTCCGGCGAAAACCCGGCATTTCGCCCCTTCCCGGCATTGTGCAGATGCAAGGTCGATGCCTAACGACTATGACATGAGTACCCCCCCCCCCCTCTCCCTTCGCCTGGATGAACATTGCAAGGTTCGACCCTCTCTTCATCGAGGATCCGATGAACCTGAGCAACAACGTGGGCCACAACTGCTTCCGCGTGTACCAGATCCAGAGGGCCTGGAGCGACGCCCACGCGTCCCTTGCGCGTGCGTTGGACGACGAGTCGCAACTCCGCGCCAGCCCTTACCGCTTGCTGAGGTGCATCATTTCTGACCCGGAGCCTGCCCCTGACAGCTGATCATTGCTCATTCCCTATTTGATTCTGTCGGTTGTGTTGTTTAAACATGTAACGACCCCGACAGCTAAAGCTGATGTTATTCGGCTGGGTGTTTGTTTTGTTGATCGATTGGTTCGGTCACTTTCTTGTTTTGTTTTGTCTTACAACAACATGGTACGCGAATTTTGGTGGTTCGTCTATTAATAGATGCGGTTTTGTGTTGGGTTTGATGGAGGCGGAACCTATAGGGGAATTATTGACAGATCAAAGTTTACTGGTTGGACGATTGATCGGCCAGTTAGTGGTGAGGCCGCTACCCCTAGACACACTTTCTTGCGCCCGGAAATCCGGTTTATCTTAGCGGTGCGTTTGTATGTCAACGCTAGATAGGCTTCTAGTTTTGTGATGTAGAACGCTACTGTAGATAGGCTTCTAGTTGTGTGGTGTTTGTTGTCAATGGGGTCAGGAGAGAAACGACGGTCCCAAGGTGTTGACCTTGTTGCGCGGCTCGCATGTGCCCGCTCGCAACATGACGAGTGTGACAATGGTTTGCTGTTTCTGTGAGCCGTGTCTCTCTGTTGATGTATCCTGTCGACATTCTTTGTTGTTTTCGTGTGGTAGATCTCTGCCGTGATGACCCCATGTACTGGGTGAGTTTATTTCCCTACGTGCCGAACCCACGAGAGCCTGGTGTGCATGATTTGGTTGCTAGCAGCCCCCGTGTGCGATGATGGCGTGTGAACGCGCGGGACCACGGTTGATCCAGGATCGTTTGGGGGGCAAGATGCCGAGGCTTGCTGCTGTAGACCGTACGCGTCGCAGGAGCCGTCCCTGGTAGAGACAGTAGTGTTTGATAGACATGACAGTGTTTTATGGACATGACAGTGTTTGATGGACATGAC